TATTTCTATTAGTGAATGCTTGTTTTTGGCTGTTTGTCGTCTAGTTTAGTGTTAATTAGGTTCGAATAGTTGTAAGTCTTCTATATCTTAAATAAATAAATAAATCGTTCTTGTTTTCAGTCGTCCTCGTCCTCTCATTCGATATTTTCATTACCTACATTCAAAACAAATCTAGTCTATCAAAAGCTGTCTCGATTTGTCACCGTTACTAGGCACAGTCCTGTATGTTCATGATTAATCTAGCTTTTTAAGTCACACATATGGTACAGTTATGAGCTGGTATGCGATACACTGACTTTTGACTGATATTCAAAAATAAGAAGGGAGGAAGCTCTTGACCTTAGATTATTATTTATGGTTGGTGGCAATAGCGTCCAGCTTTCCAAAGTCTTCCAATCAAATTTATTTAACAATCATCAAATCAATAAACTCGTATGGACATAGTATCTAAACAGCTATGGATGACATCCATGGCAGACATGGATCAGAGTACATGATAAAATTACGAAAGTTACTGCGTGAGAAATGCGATCATTATGTCCATTAGGATTTAAAAAAATTCCAGGATACAAAAAAAAAAACGATAAGGAATAAATGAATTCCTTCATTCATAACGAACACGTCTTCTACAACAATCGATCTAAAGCCAGCCCGTCTTTCTTAATGCGCATTGCGTTATAAAATTTTCTATTGCGAGAATATAAGAGGAACGTCACACCTGTCTTCGTACTTCAATAGGTTCTTTGCTGGAGCTACAAAGACGTGCAAGAGTTCCAAACATGGCTCGCCATTGTTTACAGCGAGATCGCCATCACAGCTTTTAAGCTTTCATAATCAGGGTTGTCACACGATCTTATCTTAGTAGCATACTTACAATTGTTGTAGCAACACAATAATGGTCTATCAAGCGTCATACGGACATTCATGGTGGCCCTATTCCAATAACTATGATCATAAATATTTATTGAACTGCGTTTATAACATTACTTATTTGGTCATTACGTCGTAGAGCAACGTGACAGATTTTGTGGTAGAATAAGGAGTAGTTAAGGGAAGCATGAATCCTTTTCTCGGTTGGCCTCTTTCATAAAAAAGTATCATCAACGGGTATCATACTACCGAAACTTGTTTTAAATCTAACACTTCGAGGTTTCTTCCGGTTAGTTTCTTTACTCGGCTAGCGGTAGAAGTAGATAATTTTATTTTCACATAACGATAAGTGATCTCCGCCGCCCATAGGAGTGTTTGGATTTGAAACACCCGTAGTAGGGTTTCAGATGCGTTGCTATCTTTTAATAAAGTTGGCCCCGGTCACGTCACTCACCAGACGAAATGGGAAACTTCCACTTTACGCTAGTCTTCTGTGAGGTCATGGTACTTACCCCGACGGGCCTGCCCATTCGTGCAAAAGCCGAGGTTGCTGCGTGGCCCCACCACCGTAGGTATAGGTAATGATAAGTGTCAACAAAGCAGGAAATAATTCAGCGGCCGCGCGGGTAAAGCCGCGGTTATAGATAGTCTATAATATGTATTGAGGCCTGTTTAAAGTCAGATCCGCATAATCGATAGCGGCTTACAATAAACGAACTCATAAGTAAGTACTCAGTATTCAAAGAAATATACCCTGAATGAAAGTGCCGGTGTCATTGTTACGCTTTGAACAAAGGCTTTTATGCTGTGCTATAAAATGTAAAGGCAAGGTCAGAACTTTGAGTGACCCAATAAATTGCGTCAATTTTAACACACATCGACATCTAAAAAGCTTGTCAGCAAGACCACGAGACGAGACATTTATTGAGATATCCCGAAGTGATTTTAAGCAACATTACCTAGTCTTAAACTAAGCAAAGATAAACATAGTCAAACACAATTTTGTAAATCCATACATTTATACGCCCATACTATAGAAAAACGCTATGTTCATCACATAATATTTTTCCAGCAGTAGGGCTCCCGCCTATATATACCTCTCGTGCAATAGACAGGTATCTTTGTCTTTCTAACCATGTTTGTGTCTTTATGTATTAGAGGCATAGGTAACATTATTTCAATATAGAAAAAATGGAATACTTATTATTTTTAGTACTTTTGCAGTTCGGTTTTTTGTTTCGTTTAATAATTTACTTAATTAAAAGGGCTTGTAATTACGCAAAAATATTAATATATCTTCTTAATTTCACACCGGTGCTAAGTGGGCGCCACCAATTTTACACTCAGAGCCACTAGTTAATTGTCATCTCTTCCACAAAAAAGGAAAGCGGATAATTATGCGGATAATATTTCTTGCTTAATTTTATTGACCCTTAGATATTTAATTATTTATTTATATCAGGTTTTGAACATATACAATACTTCAGTAATCATCGAAAAGATCGTTGTAAAAATTATTAAAATAACACCGTACCGTATGATTGGACGATAACCGTCGTCATATGCTAGTCGTTCTTCGTAACTATAATCGAATAGACGACGATAATAAAAATCAAAAGACCATCGCAAATCGACCGATCCAAATTAGAATTCGACAAATCGCGTGTCATAACCCTCCGTTAGGCGTGTGCCTACGCGTTCCGTTACCGAATTGCCCATAATAGGTGCACAAAAGTAACGGATGGCGCGCGTGCGGAACGTTCGTTATAATTGTTCCACGATAATTCGAGTAACGCGGCGGGATTCGAAGTACGATTTTTTCTTGGTTCGTTGCGCTGACTTTGAAAAAAACACCTGCATATTTTGTAATATAATAAAGGCCTTTAATAGCTATTACTTTACTTTTTTTTCAAACTAAAAAACACGCTTTTGTAGATAACCGACCTAAAAGTAGAAAATAAATTTCAATAAATTTAAATTAGGAATAGTTTGATTAACAAAAACAATATTTTATTGCAGAAAATCATCTTGATACGTTATATTTTAAGAAATAAGATTAAATAAAATATCCGCATTTAAGTTTAGTAGTCGGCGGGACCCAATTGCAAAATAATTTCATTTTACACAACGTCATCTAGTCTATCTGTTTACAAAAACAGAAAGAAAATACGCAACAGTTTACAAGAACAGAATGAAAGAAAATTAATATTATCAATACGTCGAAGTGGTCCGGAAACCCCTACCGAAGAAACCACAGATTTATCAAACTGTGTTGTGCGGAAAATTTCGTGAAAAACTCACGCTGGTCGATTACCAACCATCAAGATTACGTTGATGATATTTAGCATTATGTTGTTGGTTTGGTAACTTGTTTTGCTGAAGTTGATTGCTGAAGTTCGAACTTTACGAGTTCGATCTTAACGAGTTTATGAGTCTAAAGGATCAGAAAAGACGTAACGATGATGAGATTTACGAAGTCAACAAATAAAAAGTTTTCATTGTTGGCAGGCGAGATAGCGGAACATCTGGTGTTAGTTAATTATCCACAACCACAGAGGGATAGCAAATGCGTATCTAAACTTTAAAACAGTGAAACCGGTTACTTCATGCACACAACACAAAATTCTAAAGTATAACAACACTTCACGCAGTTCTGTCCTTTCGAGCATCACCGGAAACTTATGAATGGCCTTAACACAGCCTTAAAAACTATTGACAAACAATTTTAACACATTAAAAAACAATTCTCATTGTCATACAGACATAATACATATAGACGTTAACAACTTGTTGGTTAGAAAATCAACATAAAAATCGAAAAAAAAAACGGAGGCAATTTGAAAATTTATATAATTTTTAAAAGCGTAATAAGTAAATTTTTTAACGTAAAATACAGTTTGCAATCCTTGAATGTTATCAGGGGTAAAAATTTCATATTTAAAAACGTGAAACATAATAAACACAGTGTTAAAACCACTAACCAACTTTCTGAATAATTAATTAGGTCTTTCAATTTAATAAAATATTATACCAGAAACGTATCGATTCCAATAATAAATAATTACATTTGTAGCGTCAATAAATATGCATATTTGCGCGGCAAATAGAAATAAAAACGCGAAAGCCTGTTTCTGCAGATTTTTACCCAGTTGCTAAATACCGTAGACAAATCAAAATATGTAGTAATAAAATAAAGTTACAGATGATCCTAGACTTTTTACCGTTAAAATCGTTGTGTGATAACTACTATTTCCCTATTTAAGCTGTTTCAATCAATTTTTATTTCTTCAAGTATCTTTTTTATTTAATGTTTTTAAGTAGGGTAAAACAAAAATATTTCGCATCCGTATTCATAGATGATGACTGCATCTGTAGTAGACCATTATCCATTGCATCAGCAAGGGAAGTGTCTGACAAAAGAACGCCGTAAGCCGTCTTTTATAACATTTATATCACTTTACATTTTATTTGATAACTCAAACCGTTTGCCGTAGTAACTCTACGCAAGTTTTATTTCATTCTCTGTCATCCGTCAAGTAATATTGTACTACTTATAATACGGTGATTGCACAATGTAGCAAACTACTAAGAGGGAAGAGACTTTGATTATCTCACTCTGAGTGTACCGCAAAAGCACAATTTTTTTCTCACCGGTGATATGTCGTGATATTCCCCGGTCGAGTTGGCCTATTCGTATTTCTAGGGATGTTGACAATTTTTGTTTACTGCTCGAGCACTGCGAATCTTTTCCTGAGTACATCTTTCTATTACCTCAGGTTTAGCCAGTTCTTTTCCAGACGAGTCTAAATTTGTTAACAGGTGGTACACTTTTCTATATAATTACTAAAACGATCATTTAAAACATTAAGATTTTCCCTTTGAGTTTAAATATGTACTCAAGTACCGATACACCCTATTACTACTACTAGTATTACGTACACTTTGTGCGTAGTTATACTGTAGTTGAATGCAGATAGTTTTCTACCAGATGACGTAGTGGCGTATGAGCTCAGCTATTGGGTTCAGCGCCGCGGGTAGTGGATTTGAATGCCACGCGGGACAAACAATTATTTGTGTGACCCACAGACGTGTCCGCCGACCCCACAGGAGGGATTAGGACAGAAGAATTAAGAAGAATCTCTATCCGTTACGTTTGGCCGCGACATTTGGCAAATGGCCACGCGGCCAAAGGCCAGACCACGTGCTAAGCGGAGTGCCCGATTGAGGCGTGGAGTCGACATTCGCGGCGCCGTTATGGCGACCACATTGGTCGAGCCGACGGTAGGCGGCGACTCGGTGGCAAATAAACCGCCGAAGGTGTCACAATTATAGCCATTAATGCAGCTCAAACCTGCGATACGAATCCCGGCGGTGGAATGTACGAAATTGTGAACCGAGCGAATGATCGTGTTCGCAACTATGGGGAACATATTCAGGACTGATTGGACTGGATACATAAATATTAAATTAAAGTATAAGTAGAATTCTTGTAATACTTTTGCCGTAATTAATAAGATCAAGAGAAGTAAATACAGAAGAAGATTTCGCTTCCGCATTTACCGAAGTAGAAGTTACCCAAAACTTCATTTTAGAAAAAGGCTGAAGCAAAATTGATGTGATTTTAATACGTTTTTATTAGCTTGGTATGCATGTATGTAACGGACTCTTCAAACGTGATTTTGACCCACTTCAAAACGTTGAATTAATTTGAAACTCTGTACACTTATCAAGGCACGATGATAATGCAATAAGGATCAGCGATCCAAATCCGATACTCGGCAGCAGTCTTTGTGAAGTGTGTCTGCAGTGAAGTAGAAAATAATTTTCAATTAAGTTGATAAATTTAAATTAAGAATAATATGATTAACAAAAAAAATATTTTATTGTAGAACAGCGTGGGCTGCTTTTTAAGATATTTCTGTAAGGACTCTTGCCTTGGACCTTTGCCAATATCTGTTATTAAAATATTATAAAAATTGACTACAGCTTAAGTTAGACGCCTGATTTTTTGAAGTGAAAACTTTTATAGGCACGTTGGGTTATTTTGGATGGGTAAAATGCATAATTCGGGTCACCGGCATGCTAATCTCACGTGCTTTGTCATTGACGTTAGCGACGTTAAAATTTATTTTAATATCGTTTGGTTTTCTAACATTTAATTTCTGTGAAACTAATTTCTAGCTGCGCGATAGTGTTTATTCCGCGAATTTTAAAATTAAAAAAATTGATATTAAAAATATATGTAATTCAACTAGAATGATGGTTCACGTTTAGATCTATTACTTATTTAGAAAACTTCACAAGGTAAAATTACATCTTTAATTAATTCATTTAATATTATTCACGACGACGCTTGTCATCTTAATGAATATGAAAGTTAATGACAGCGAAGAAATAATGCAAATTGAAATTTAAGAAAATATGACAAAGCTATTTAACACTTGCAATTTACTGCTAGGAAAGAGCAAGTTAAAGTAGTTAAAAAACGAAATTTTCAATAACAAATTAACAATACCTAAACAATAGACAATGACATTAGACAGAGTGACAGATTCATTTTCTCCAAAAAGGCCAAAGGCCGGGTTTATTTGCAAACAATTGCTTGTTCAGATAAATAAAACATAGAAAAAGTTTTTTTTTAAGTTCTGAAAGAGAAAGTGCAGTTGATGAATACTGATTAATTATTTATTTGTTTAGTTCAGTTCATAGATATTGATTGAAGGCATCGACAGAGGTAATTCGAGCAGAGGCTTCATATCTTGCACCATTAATGTCGTCGTCTTCGTCTTAAGACTATTCGTGAATAATAATACCAATTAAAATAGAAGTAGTTACTCTACGGCTTAATATAACAAAATAACCCTATTTATGACCATTATTGTTGGTCTTATAATATTACTGGCTGTGAATAGATATATGTGTACACACTACTTATATATACTTTTATAGTCATTTTAAATATTCACAGTTTATTAGTTACTGGAAAAGCCGTATTCACCGTACCTCATTTTTCCCGAAGCCTTTGTTTTACTTGTCATAAACGTTGTTAAGTTACGAATAAAAATCGGGCTCTATATTCTGACGAGTAAATTATCGGGCAAGTTTGTACTTTCGGTGTAAGTCTGTGCTTTCCCAATTCATTGCAAGATTAATCACATATCTCTATCTACCGTTCATACCAATTAAAAATCCAAACTCCTCTCCGACTGTGTGTACCGAATTCGTTATTTGATAAGAAAGTTTATTTAAAATCAATTAACTGATACGACGGGACCCGGGGGAAGCATCATTGTAATAAATAGTACAATTGAATATGTAGGTAACTTAGTTAAAATTATAAGCTATAAGGAAGATACTAGTATACAATTTTTAAGCCTGATTGGCTTAATTTATATATATATATACGGGTACCCCAGAATTCTTTACACGTTTTGCCGCGTTTCATTAAATTCTCGAGGATTAGATGATATCGTTTGTTAATGTAATAAAATCCGCAAAAATTTCATTATAGGCCTACTAAATATGAACATATAAAAAATAAGCTATAACAAGCCTGCAAAATATTTAGGTATATTGTTTAACACACCAAAACCCGGAAAACATCGACAGATTAATACAAGACATTGGGGATTACAAGCCAGAACCTGAAATAGTGTTACCACTTCCTAGGCCATCGCCCCTTCATGCTCTCTTAATTTCGTAACGTGCTTAATTGAAATTTCTTTTTGTTATTCTGACGTAAGGTGTATAAAATCATAAATTCAAATACGCGACCGCTCAATAGTAGCCAAAGAACTAAACCGGGACCGTAAGACATTCTTATTTATATCAAATCAGGCATATTTTCTGGTATTGGTTTAATTACTCAATTAATTATAAATAGCTCACTCATATCATGCAAACAATTTATCAATCGAATTCTTTCCATATGAATACAAAATCAAAGTTAATGTTATAAATAGTATAAAGCTTGTGAAATGAATATCTAAGCAAGGTAAAATAAATATCCTTGCTTAGATCGAAGTTTGTTTCATAAATTAAATTTTAAATATGCCACATTCACATCTCGATGCCCCCATATCTCCTTAAAAGAAATACCTTTAATATCCTTTTTACATATAATCCTTTAACATTATTTTAATACTTTAAAAAAAGTTCTGCCTAGCCCAGCCGTTAATAAACCCTTACAAAGTATAAAAAGTCAACTGATAGACATCTCCGTATCGAATTATGCAAAAAGGCCTTAATGCGAACAGACTATTTTCTAGATTACCTACTACACATATAACCTTATGTTTTTTCTAAATTAACGTATAACGTTTAGTTGTTATCAATTACATATATTGTAAATAGACGTTTACTACGTCATGTCATTACAGTGGCGTTTTAAAAATTATTTTCCTGCGATTAATATATACACTATCTTAAGATAAGTACTAAAGGTCAACACTAATAGCGACACTCGTGAAAAGCTATGCTTGATTGTACGAGAACTCAACAACTCACAGTCACTTGTGCATTCAGGTGTGTGTGGCGCCAATTATGTCTCCTTATTATAGAGAGCTCTTCTTTTTATTACGCCGCGTTGTGGGAAACCACTGGAACAATATTATCGGAAGAGTTCCCAAGTGTCTCATAGCGGAGAGTGGGACATGGACCTAATAATTATTTATGTATTGTCAAGGGCTAGAGCGCACGATTCTTCATTCGGATACCTACGGTAGAGTAACTAGCCTTTAAAAAAATAATTAAATACCATTTTTACTCTAGTAATTTTATACAATACTGTAAATGTATACAATTTTTAGCTCTTGCATTGCATTCGTGGTTTTCTTTGATGTATTAGTTGCCAGTTAAATTGGAATATCTACGTTCGTAATATGTGAAAGTGGTTTGTTCTTTTTGATTTATAGCTTGAAATTTTGCAGTGTCTTGATTTTATCACTTTCTAGTATACTACACATTAATATAAAACAGTTGAATAAAATGCATAGATTATGTAAATATTTGTATCACAAGATTTTAAATATTTTTAAATAAAGACAATAAACTTCTGTCCCTTACCTACGGTTTCATCGACGACAGGACAAGAGTTCAGAAACTGAAATGGCAAAATATATCGATGCAAAAATTAAGCCCGTAAAATATCCACTAGAGTCCATTGTCTTAGTTAATTCTATATCGATAAAGCACTTTTTACAATAAATTTACTCGCTAAATGAACACAATTGTTGCGAAATTCTTTAAAAAATTAAAACTTCTGACAGTTCCCGCGTATTTTCGAACGCGTATTCACTCGAAGTGCACACTCCCGGGGTGACGCGAGTGGAGTTGCCGCCGCCGCGGGTGTCGAATAAATGGCGGCCGGCGCATCGTACACCTGTTAGTCTCCGGCCGCATATAGCACGGGGATACCTGAGTTAAATTGAATTCAACGCACGCGGGAAATTAAAAAAAAATATATACGAATTGATGGTGATTGATGTCCGTCGTATCGATTAAACCGAGTAACTGTACATTTAAAGAATTAAACGCCAGTTGTTAAGCTCGCCGCCGGTCAATGCGTGTTGTTAGGGCGTTGTGTGTATGACTCTACATTTGATGTTATGGTTGAGCGATTTATATGTGGTTTAAAAACGTTAGCTTTTGTACATGCTCGCTCTAAAAAGTGGGGTTTAACTAAGATGTGATTTATATTCTGAAAGAAGTTTTGTAGCGAAAAATAATTTTGCTCTTTCTATATTATTTCAATGAACATATTTAATATTTTCAATGAATATAAAAGTTTATGAGTTTTAGGCGATAATCTATTCTTTAACTGCTCTACATGTGGTAGGAGTCCCGTGCTTAGTTATAAAAATGTTTTTTATATAATTACTAGCTGACCCGGCAAACGTTGTTTTGCCATATAAATTATTTGTGGGTAGAAAAAAAAGTTCGGGGTGGCCCACCCTGAACATTTAGGCGGATGAAAAATGGATATTGTCCGATTCTTTACCCTGGCGGATATGCACACAAAATCTCACGAAAATTGGTAGAGCCGTTTCGGAGGAGTTTAATTACAAACACCGTGACAATTATTTAATATATACAATTCTTGATTTTATATATTAGATAATTGTTTGATTTATTGTATCTACGCGAATACTGCACAATCATAAAGATAAATAAAAACGCGATAAAATACATGAAGCACTTTTATTTAAACATTATAATTGTTTAGTTGTTGGTGTCAATGCCAGTCTCTTTGTACACATAATTTTCTGAATTTAAAAATAATATTTAATAAAGTTTTTAATTTTAATGACTTTCGTCAGTTACATTCGAACCGTTACTAACGAAATTATATGTCTCTATGACATAATTAATAAATTTTCCCACATATTTATGCGCTTAAATTCTGTATGCTTTTTTATTTTAAAATATTGTC